GAGCGCGGGGATGGGGCGGGATAGAAATCTACAGTAAAACCAAATGTTCACTCGTGCAAATCTGTTTACCATTCTGTACAAGAAACTGAAATAGAATTCATATGAACAACTAGAACCTTATTACACGTTCAGAACCACAGATATCTGTTTATACCATTTTCTGTACAAGAAACTGAAATAGAAGGCATATGAACAACTAGAACCTTGTTACACGTTCAGAATCACAGATATCTACCCAACTAATACCACAACACTTAACCTCGTAACTGAGCATCTCGACTTGTCAATGGTACATAACGAACAGAAGTCTCACTTCGAATGCTTAGTGAACCATCTGGGTTCTTGTCCACAACCTGCAAGTCCTGGAAAATGTTCCCCACAGGGATCACCAACCTGCCTCCAGGCTTCAACTGATCGATGAGTGCTTGGGGAATTTCTGGTGCCGCAGCTCCAACATGAATAGCATCATATGGTGCATACTCAGGCCATCCCAGCCTGCCATCTGTCAACATACAAAATAATACAACCAACAAATGTAGGTGACGCATAAAATAAGTCGCCATTGCAACTAATATTTCAAGATGCAACACAAGATTCACCAGGACAATATGCACTAGAAATAAAGAGAGTATTTCGTATCAAAAACCTTGAAGATATCTCATTCCATGGCAAGGTGAATGAGCTAGAACTGTGGAAGTATCTAAATAAGCATTGGGACGATTCCATGTTGGCACAGGGAATGAGGTAAGTTTATATTTCCAGTACATCATAATCAACAGTACCAGAGAGGCTAGCCTCCTAAATTGTGTTGACATAAATTGTAATTGAAATTGATTAAGCTGTTGCTAGTGTAGGAAGCTGACGTCCCTGGTATTATCTATCACGCTTCCTATCACATATGAGCTGAAAACTAGGAATAAAGCAAATATTTTGCTAAGCTGAAAACCATGAACCAATTTCAACTGTAAACCAGATTTAACACGAAAATTAATCAAATAATTTAATCACCACACTGAACAGAAAATCTTATTTCAAAATGAGGCACTAAATCTCACGAGGGTAGCCATGGTCCTGTTCAATCTTGTATACTAAATGGTGCAAGACTGACACCGTCCACTCTTGTCAAATTATAGTCACCAATCATGCATTGACGCACAGGATTAATTATTTTAGCAAACCTATAAAAAAGGACATAAGCATCTAATCATATTAGTTAGTAGGCATAGAGCATGTCTGGCTAAGCGTGAGAAAAGTAAAAAGTTTAACTTATATGTTACTTACTCCTTTGAAGGAAGTTACTATTTTGAAAAGTAACTCTTACTTTCAAAATATAATTGAACCTTTTAAACTTGGTCAAACATGCTCATAGTTACTGGTTCACTTCTTTGGCCATAACCCTGAGCACTATAGCAACAGGCAAAACCAAAATGACAAAAATGAAGGCAGAATGAAATTAACTTGTCATATAATCAACCAAATGTACATATTATTCTTCTCAGTTCTCAATACATTCAATTTCTTCTTGAAATATTTATTAAGTTATTGTAATACGGTTTCCACAACATAAGCCATGCAAGCGTACAACAATTATGTATCACCATTCTAGTAACCAATCCGAAAATTCTTATGTTCGAAGTATCTTAATTTTTTTTATAAGATTTTACATGGTGAAGAAATATGTAGCAATCATTAAACAGCCACTGTCATATCTGTTGACTGCAACAACATCCTCATCTTGCAAACTAAAAAGAAACCACCCTCATAACATTAGAAATAATTAGAAAAGCAGCTGGCAAAATGAACATGCTCTTTTTGCAAACTATATGAAGAAAGGTCTCAAAATGTTCAACATGAAAAAAAAAAAGCAGTGAGGCAATTCCATACATACCACCAGTGCGCATCACAAGGGATCCTTCTTTCAATAGCGAAGCTGCTGCACTCTTCTGGATATTCTGAAGAGATGATTCAACCAACTCAGGAATATGTTCCACCCCAACTGCACGACCTTGTGGTCCAACCATGATAGCAAAGCATGCGGTCAAATACCCCGTTCCTACAAAAAGAGGAATCTCATATAATCTGGAAATCTGAAGTGTTGTGGAAGTTTGAAAGATCCCAAGAAAATCAATTTACGCAATAATTTTCTTTGCATTACTAGAAATATGCAGTCCAAACTCATAACAGTATGTGACCAAAGTGCTAACTCCTAACAACCTCAGTGGCACCTAGAAAATAAGCACACACTTCATTGAAGTTTTCAATTGCAAATTTACTAGATTTATACGCAAATAAAATTTCACTTGAAACACAATTCTATATAACATCTTCAAATGTTAATGCTTCTAGAAGACAGTAACGTATTACTGTATAACTGAAGTCAATGGCCAACAAGTTTTCGATTACAATAACAACTTGGATAAAAGAATACCTGCACCAACATCCAAAGAATGCATGCCAGGCTTCAAATGGTTTTCCAACAATTCGAGGCATGTGGCGTGCATATGAGGTGCAGAAATAGTGGCATTGTAGCCTATCTGCACAGGACTGTCCATATATGGTGGGGCATCCTCAGGCACAAACAAAGCCCTGTCAATAGTTTCCATTACTTCGGCTACTTTTTTCGACCTAATCACTCCATGACTCTGCAAAGTCTCTATCATTTTTTTGTTTGTATTGAGTCCACTTCCAGTCCAGAATCGCTGTTGAGAAACAGAAAACAATATTGAAGTAAGAGGTAACAGGAAGGTCCATCTCATAACCTGTCAGAAAATAAAGAAATAAAATGGCAAAATCAAATTGATAAACTTCGAAAGTGAATAACTTTCCAAAGAAAATGTAATAGAGTTCTGGTTCAAGTCAATACTGGATTCACATCCCAAACTGAAAACATTTTCCTAATGATAATCATTTCATCCATTTATAAAAAAGAAAATTAGAATGTTTCGAAGTTAAAAACAATTAAGTCCCTAATTAAACCAATGCACCAATGCTATACTTTCACAATTCAATAACAAAATTAGGTGCGTCATTCAGTTCCCAAACCAATCACAATCACTTCAGGCCAGAATCCGGCCACAAGAATCAAACGCACTTTCAATATCTACTGCGATGTATATATACAAGAATCAATATTTTCTTATCTCAGCTCCACTCCGAACTATCACCATAACAAATTTCTTATATTCCAATCAAATTTCAGACTTTTCATATATACACCTTCTATTTCTCCCTAATTTTACTTCAAAAACAATCTAAAGAACAATAAACGGCATGTATTCGAAGGAATGGATATAAAAACGTCAGATATACAAACGCATTAGGCGGGTGCAAGAGAGGAGGGGTTACTTCCATGCGTGAGAACAGAGAATTTCCCGTAAAGATGGGAGTATTAGGGAGGCTAGAACGAAGGAAAAAAGCTGTCGCGGAGAGGGCCGAATCAGGCGGCGATTGAGAAATAGTGAGACGGCGGTGAGAGTGGCGGTGTCGCACTCGCAGAGTTAAGTATGATAAGGATAGCTTTATAGGCGCACGATAGCGGCAACCATACGCAATTACTGAGAGCGAGTGTGTGTACGTGGAAGGCATTTTTTTTTAACCGCTAATCACTTCTCTCGCCTTTTCTTTTCTCTAGCTCTTTCGATGCACGTGTCGCTCTCTTGCGTAGAGTTTCTTGGACCTTCGACTTGGCCCGTTTCTCGAACAGCCCAACTCATTTTTTTCTTTACCCAAATATTATCACGTGGAAATTACGCCCATTACATGTTTTTTTGATAAAATTTCAATTATTACTTCGTAATAATTTTTTTCCCACGGTAAAATTGTAGTAAAAAAGAAAAAAGATAAAATCACTTAACACATACAACATAATCAAATGAAAGCTGATTTTATTGCACCTAACACGCTGACGCCCCCTCATAGATGCGTATCAATGTCATAATCTGAAAACTGCGTCTCATCATCTTCACTTGTATACTCAATTCGATGGAATCGTTTGATAGATCTTCAATAATTATGCACTCGAGGGGGTGATTGTGGATAAAACAAGAATTTGAAAAAAGAAAAATACACCAAACCCTACTATTAACTTTACATTTCAAATATCAAGATTGAAGTTAATCATTTCAAAAGCCAGGTACCATACCAAATCACCATACTCGACACCATCCCACCCAGCCACCCTACCCTACCTTATCCTACCCTACCCTACCCCACCCCAAACCCTAAAAACAATGATTAATTAGAGCAAACAAACATTGTTTCTATTGTTGTTGGGTGGTGCTATCTCTTTGCTGTTGCTTTACCGTGCCACCGCTTCTATTGTTTCTATTACACCGCGTTACAATTTCGGTTGCTTTTCTATCGCATGCATCGCTTATGTCGCATCGCGTCATCTTCAATCGATTGAACGTGGCAACGATTATTGTAGTCTGGTGATTGTGAATTGAGGTATTGGTGGTGGTGGTTGATTGGAGGTGGAGATAGTGGTTGTGATTGTGGATTTAAGGTGCAGATGACAATGATGAGTTAGAGGTAGAGATAGTGGTGAATTTGATAGCAGAAAATTTCCCAAAAGATAGCTTTAACACCATCTTGCTGAATAATCCTAACCCCAAAAACAATAGATCCCACATGGGGTGGCGATGTAGGTGGAAATGGTCGACAAACGTTGAAAAAGCTAGAGGATAAAGGAAAGGATTGGGTGCAGACGCTTGGTGGTGGTGGTGGATTGTGAATTTGAGGTGGCGAAGGTGATTTAGGTGGTACCGATCTTGGAAGAGTGGGTGGGTTAAACTAAAAGTGTTGTGATCGATTAATTGAGTAATTTATGATTGATAAATACGTGATTGTAATCTAAAAATTATGTATTTATGATTGTGAATTGTGTAATTTATGACTAGTACGTAATTGTGCTGACATTGATATGATTAATTAAATTATACATGACAAATCTTATAATTCCATAATTTTTTCAATTAGAAACCAAGCAAATTTTGGAATCGATGACCCGACCCGACCCGACAATTTGTCTACTTTTAACGTGGGGCTGTTATAGTTGTCTGCCACACGTACACGCGATTGACATTTAGGGTTTCTCCTGTGTTCCTGACTTCCTTCACCATCAAATCCTTCCTGTACTCTGATTTCAGAATCATATAAATTATTTCTAATGAGTTTATCGGTCATTCCTCTTCAATTTCTGTCGATCTTCATCAATTGATCACAATATTCTTCCAGGAAATTTAATTGAAAACTTTCTGAACAGTCCGATAATAAAGATTTATCAATCCGGTACCCAAAATGTAAGTATCTGCTCCATTTTTTCGTATACTATTCCATTCGTCCTTTCAATTTGATTCTTTTTCCTATATGATTTTTGGGGTTTGAATGTATTTTGAGATATTTTTGTTTGATTTTTCAGGTCTCGAGAAGAATTAACAATGGAAGCAATAAAACACGCTCTGAGAGCGCTTAGAAAGCGGCATTTACTCGAGGAGGGCGCTCATGCCCCGGCTATAATCGCCCTTTCGCGCCCCCTGGTTTCTCAGGTTATTCATATGTGTATATATATTTGTGGTTTCTTTTTGAAAGTTTGTGGGAAAGATGATCCTATGGGGTAGTTGAAAGATTATAACGCTACATAGGTAACTTATTTTCCTATGCTTTAACTACCACTGAAGCAAAATTACTTGCATTCATACATAAAAACCACATTTGTGATGTTCGATATAGAAAATCTATAAAATAGACGAATGCTTGTGTGAATAAGAAAGTGTTTGCTCATTAGAGCTGTGTTGTGCATCAGTTTCATATAATTATAAAGTTAGGCATTTTTTATGGGGTCCTGATCTCCCATCGGACAAAAATCTAAATCTGTGATAGCTTTTAGAGAAACTATATCTAATAGAAATTTCTTTAAACATTGTTAATGCTGGATGGTTTTGGGATTTTTGGCACCATGAGGAAAATTGGGTTTTAGTGAACATAATATTGATTATTGAGTGGTAGAGACTACTAGGTTGATTACGGCTATCTTCAACTGCCACTGTTTTATCAAATCATATGCAAAGATGACTTGTGTTATAAAAAGGTATAAAAAGGCAGAAATCACTTTAGTCAATCTAGTCAGATTCCATTCTTCTTCTTATGGAGCATAAAATATCAAATAGGAGATCTGTTGAAGTTTACCACATGTGTTACTTAATGGAGTGCATTCGTGTGATAGGTGAATTTATTGTAAGGCATGGACTACATAATCTCCTCAATACTTGGGATGGTCTGTCAATCTTTACTCTATTCAACGTGATGCATCACATGAAAGGCTTTTTTTACCTGCACGGTTATCCCTTTGTCGTTTCTCTAAATAGTACTCAACATGATGCAGGGAGGCTCAAATTGCCTATTTTCATAGTTTTTCTGCAGTAAAGAGTGCAATCATTTTCTCTTCTCTGTTTATGTGGACTTTTCCCTCCTATTAGACAAAACCAGAAAATTACACCTTCCCAGTTCTCTATTTTGTGACTCAGACCTTCCTTCATGAAACCCATAATTAATGCAATCCTTGTAGCTGTAAGATACAAAATTATGGGTCAAAAAGAATCTGCACCAGTAATTTGTGCAAAGATTATATCATGTTTCATAGAGACCAAAAACATTGTGTAAAACTGAAAATAGCATTCAAAATATTGCTCTTTTGTTCAAGAAAATCACATGAATTTAATATTTTTTTTAGCATCGGAATTATGTAGAAATTTTGCCTAGCTATTTTCGGTTTCATGTAACAACTAATCATGTGAAAGTCAACTGCATTTTCAAAATCTCTCATTTCAATAATATTTAATTTGATATTTTTCTTTGATACTTTATCCCATCCAAACTCCTGGGTCTTCTCTGATTGTGATTTCCTACCATGAATAACATAATTGTGAATATTTTTCATGAACAAAAGAAACATCACCCACGCCCAGCAATAACGTTGAATAAATTCTTATGTCTCTCTCTTGAGGATATAATTTTAGACCATGTAGTTTTTCCTTCACTTAGGCCTCACAGTTTCTAGTTGATCTTGCAAAGCATGTGATTCTTAAAACTTATTATTTGATATTAAATTTTGTTATTTTTCATGTTATTTGAACTTGTTTATGTCCATGGTTCTTCCTCGTTTATTTATCATGATATCTAGAAGTTCATCTCTTGTTATGGCCAATATTGACCATATTGGAAAGGCTGAGATTTCTATTTAAGGCAAATTTGTACAATATGATGTATGATAGTTGCAAATGTTTGCTCTTGTATCAAGCTGTGACATTTTATTTTGAAGGGCTCAGAGTGGAAAGAAAAAGCTGAAAGTCTTGAAGGGGAGCTCCAGCAGTGTTACAAAGCTCAAGCTCGATTATCAGAGCAGCTTGTGGTGGAAGTGGCGGATTCCAGAGTTTCTAAAGCTTTAGTCCAAGAGAAAGATGCCCTGATCTCTGACTTGCAAAATGAGCTTAATCTAGCAAGGTTTTGCTTGACATTCTCTATTTCTGTTCCTTAGCTGGGGACAAAAAGGTTTTTTCGATAGATATGAGCCATGTGGGGTTGTGATTCTGAGTAGCATATAGCATTACTCCATTGTCTAAATTTATTTCTTTTTCAGGGAAGAACGTTCTCGTTTAACTGCATGTTTAGAAGAAAAGAGTAAAGCTTTAGAATTGTTAATGAGCGAGCATCAGAGTCTAAAAGAACAACTCGAAGCAACTACTCTTAGAGCTAGTAATGCTGAGGCGGAAAATAAAATGCTTATTGACCGTTGGATGTTGCAGAAAATGAAAGATGCTGAACGCCTAAATGATGTATTATTCTCTTACTTTCGTGGGTTGAATCATTATCAGCACTATATTCTTCCTTTGAATATGATTAACTCGTAATATTTTTCATGCTGTTACTACATCTTGCCTGACTCGCCTACCCAGGAAAACAATGAGTGGGCTTCGATGATTTTATGGTCATTTCTTATTCATCTTCAATGAAATAGTAACAAACTTCTTTTCTTTGTTAATGAATTTGTTTATTGTATACACCTTTGTTGAATTTGATATGACAGTGTTATTATGCCATTCTGTTAGAATGTCAAATACTTCTTCTAGTGAGTCTGTCATTCTAATGATAATGCTTGAAGTGTGGCTGGATGCTGATTATTATTCTTTTGAAACTTGAAAATGGAAGGTGTCACTGAACCCCAAAACTCCTGGGAAATACAGATCCCTTTTTATGCGGCTACTTACTAGAAAATTTGGTTCTTTCTTTTACTGCTTAAAGAAAAGTGCATCTGATATCATTCTTGTTTTCTTGTGGTTGGTCTTTGCTGAATGCTAATTATATGTTTCTTGTGTTAAGGCCAATGCTGTTTATGGAGACATACTAGATAAACTAAAGGTCAGCAGTATAGAACAACTTGCCCGTCAACAAGTGGACGGTGTAGTGCGCCTAAGTGAAGAAGGTGCTGAGTACTATATAGAGTCACCCATTCCGACTACATGTAGGCAAAGGATCCCAGCCCATGACGGTGGCTGTGCCTCTATACTGTTTGAGTATAATTCAAGCACGTTGATAAGTGGGGGACAGGACCAGACTATTAAAATTTGGGATACAAACACGGGGTCACCGAGTCGAACTCTTCGTGGTTGTCTGGGCACTGTTCTTGATCTTTGCGTCACCCACGACAACAGATCCGTCATTGCAGCAAGTAGTGCAAATAACTTGTACGTATGGGATGTAAGTTCGGGCCGGGTACGGCACACTCTCACGGGCCATGTAGACAAAGTATGTGCCGTAGATGTGAGCAAAGTATCTACCCGCAGTGTTGTGAGTGCAGCGTATGATCGAACGATAAAAGTTTGGGATCTGCAGAAAGGTTACTGTGTCAACACACTACTTTTTCAAAGCAATTGCAATACCCTTTGTTTCAGTATGGATGGACAGACCATCTGTTCGGGTCACATGGATGGAAATCTTCGACTGTGGGATATTAAGACGGGAAAACTGCTAAGTGAAGTTGCAGCACATTCACTTCCTATAACGTCTCTTTCTTTGTCTAGAAATGGAAACATGATTTTGACCAGTGGTAGAGACAACTTGCATAACTTGTTTGATATACGTACTCTCGAAATTTGCACCACGTTGCGCTCAAATGGTTACAGAGTAGCGTCAAACTGGAGCAGATCGTGCATCAGTGCTGATGATGGTTATGTTGCTTCTGGATCTGTGGATGGATCAGTACATATTTGGTCAGTAGCAAATGCAAAAATAGTTAGTACTCTAAAAGAACACACAGCTCCTGTTCTATGCTGCTCGTGGAGTGGTCTCGGGAAACCTCTAGCTACCTCGGACAAGAATGGTAATATTTGTATTTGGAATGACAGGTCTCTTTTTTAGCCGACCTTCATTTATTTGTCGAAAGTCGCCCTTGTCTACAGATTATGAATGGCAGTTAGTTGAAATCTTTGAGGAATTCTATCGTTGCCAGTATACCTGAATGATGAAGTAATTACCATTTTCAAAGGTTGTGCATGCGAAGAATGACGTTGTCACAGAGGTAGATCTGCTGTCCTTGTGTAGATTAATATCGCTAGAGATTATCGATTGTGGAACGCGATTATTACTTCTTCGTTTTGAGGGGCACAGTTTGGTTGTATATACTCTTTATACATGCCATGTGAGTTCTTTTTCAGGTTCACTTCCAACAGTCTTGTACATGTATATATTATGAGGACATCTTTGAACAACTTACTGCATATACTTGTAATCTCAGTTAAAATATCCTTATCATGATCTTTCTTCTTAGCTAAATACTTGCTTTCATGCAACATGGAGTGTGGATCAACTTTATAAAAATTCTGAACATTCCCTAACAGAAAAATTCAGCCGACGAGTCGACAACTACATCAAAAAAATCATCAACCGTAGATCAATCTATGAAATCCAATTTGGACAGTATCATTCCTGAAGGTAATTGTCTGTTTGCATAATTTTCCATTGAGATTAGATTGTGGCCTTTATTTGATCTCCCGTTATTTTTAAAATACGTTTCTCTCTTCTTTTTTTGACAACACATTCCTCAATAAAATAATATTATACGCAAATGAATCTTGCAAGTTGTATGCGGATTAGGGATACGGATGGCAATGGATCAAGCTCGCTGTAACTTCTACTGATTACATGTAATTGATTCATGTTACAAAAAATATTAAATTGCGACTAATCCCGACATTTAAATTGATGATTTTATTTTGAAAGAGGAAAAAGTAAATGATTTATTTATTTTGATTGTAAGATAAAATATATGCTTCATAAAAGAGCAACTTGATATTTTTAAAATCTGAACTCATTCATATATCCCCAAATTGATACATATGAATGCAAATGGTCACGTGTGTACAAAATGCAACTTGCGCACAAGGGCACTTGCAGTGGCATGCTTGACCACGCTCGATGTTCCTTGTTATATATATGAGCAAATTTGTCCCTTAGTCGATTGTTTCTATCCGCTTGAGACTTTAGTGAAAAGTAACATTACTATGGGTCACTTTTTAGGTAAAATAAATAAAGAATTTTACTTTAAAAATTAATAAACGATGAGAGAAAAAAAAAAGAAATAGAAAAGAAAAGAACAATAAATAAATAAATAACCCTCTCAGCCAGCAACCACTAACTTCTCCATGTATAGTCCCTATAATCTACTTGGGGTTGCCTCCAGGGCATATCTCCAAGTGGTAAAAGGGAAATGTGGAAAAACTCCAACTTTACTTGAGGCTACCGCGTCAAGGATTCGAATCCTGAAATATGAATTTGGCAATTGGATAAGTGCAAGTGTATAAGTAACCTTCCACCCTGTACTCCTAGAGGCATAACCTGCGATTTTCCTGCTTCACCAAGGCTCAGGGCAGGGCACATCTCCAAGTGATAAAAGGGGAAGGTGAAAAAACTCCAACTTTACTTGAGGCTGCCGCGTCAAGAGTTCAAATCCTGAAATATAAATTTGGCCATTGAATAAGTGCAAGTGTACAAGTAGCCTTCAACCTTGTACCTCTAGAGGCATAACCTGCGATTTACCTACTTCACCAAGGCTCAAGGAAGGTTAGGCGAGGGCCGTCAAAGATGCGGCACATCCTTTTTTCATAATCTACTTGAGGTTTAACACAGTTACTTATCCACTACGAGGAAATGAGCAATTTATGATTGTTGTCGGATTGGATGAGCTATTAACTCAACCCGCATCAGAACTCATAAATAATAAAAGTAAAAAGGAGACAGAAAAATAACATGACAACAAGGAATAGAGACGACGGAACAAGTATATTTTCATTTACAAGATTACTTACTATTCACCAAAAATTTCAACTTTGGACAAGTATCCATCTATTCTAGAGACATTTTCATTTGGGCAATCCGAGGTCCCTCTTCTCTCTTCCTCTTGGGAAGAGATAAGGATGATATAGTTTTAGCTGAGACCACCTTTCGTACAAGTAGTCTCCACCTTGCGTCGTCTCCTCGTCTATTCTGCTGAACCTTCAATTTGAATTGTCTGAAGTAACACATCAAACATTTAAACTTTTAGATGCTAGGAGTGTGTTTGGTAGAGATTAAAATCGAATTAAAATTGAAAAACTAGCCTTTATTGTTGACTTTTATTAGACGGGTGGGACCCAATAACGGCTATATTTTCAATTTTAATTGAATTTTTAGTGTTACCAAACAAGCCCTAGGTAACTAACGACATAAAGAAGAAATATCAAGGCATTTGGTCTAATATAATTGTCAATTGCCATTAATCAATCAAACTGTTACATGCAATAGGACTTCCTTTTATGAAGATATTTTGGAGAGAAAATGGACAATGATGTTTCTATTCTTAGGGACTCCAAACTGTCCATCAATGTCTAAAATCACAAAGAATTAGCATGTGATTTTCCTTGAATCTAAAATATCCGGTACAATCATTGACTCGTTGCAAATTGGATAGGGAAATCATACAATGATGTAGAATATACCAATATATTTCTCGCGTGCTTTTACTCGAACAGTTAGTGTGTAGTATTCATATAAATTAAAGCGTGAGTCGTACAGTCTTTTTTACCTGCACAGAGGAACCCTGCATTCGTCAGGCCGATCACAGATTGAGGAGTGCAATTGAAATAGCTGCCACATTCTTTTACATCGCAAACATCCTCCATTGACCCTCTTCTTACACGCTGCAAAATGCTTGATCAGAATCTGTAGTCCATGGCACGTGGAAAACTTGTTACATGGACCCTTGTTCTTGCTCGGATCCATGTCAAAAGGTCCAACGCTCGTGCACCCTTCAGCACATATGTGCTCCAGACGGTCCATTGCTTCACTTAGCTGTAGATACATCTTCTGCTCCTCTCTATTCCTCCTTGTCCTCTTTTTCCTCTATCAAGAACACCTTCAAATCATTATTACATTGATAAACACAAACTATAAGCCTAATTCTCAATATATGAACTCTTATATCACCATCTAATGTTTTTTTCGCCATAGTTGGTCGTAAGCCCAATTAGTAGAGCTACAGATGATTGATAGATGGTCAACAAAAGCCCATGTTTGGCACCATTTATTTAAAACTCATTTTTCCACAAACTCGTTTTCAACCACAAATTTCATTATACCCACAACTTTTCAATCACATATTTCCCCAACTTTTATCAAAATTTACTGAAAATATGTTTTTATCCAAACCAAACAGGGGCAAAATATTGTCATGTTTCAGTAGCGACTTGTGTGTTTTAACCTGATATATATTTGAACTATGGGGTAATGTTTAGAGTCTATACCGTTTCAGCTTCATCGATGAACTGCAAAATTTCAAGTTCAAGCCAAGGATCATGGTTTTGCAAGAATTTCCAACCTTCGGTCAGCTCAACTGCCTTGAAATTACATGACGACATTTTCATGCACTTGAGGTAGAGATCAGGTGCATCGCAAAGTCTTGCAAGCTGAAGTACATCCAACACATTCTCAATAGTCAACCGCCCGGCCAACCCCCTTGTACATCTCTCCTTTAGCTGCGGTACCGAGTACACGTGTGATAACGCCAGCAGGTGGATCCCATACTTCTCCAAGTGCTCCTCACTGCACCTAAACCGAATAGAAAATGCTTACAGTATGATCTTGGAAACATTAATAATTTACCAATAAAAGATTAAATAAAATAATAAATAAAAGGAATAAAGATTGGCCTGTGGATGGTAACTGACTTGGAGGAATAGAGATACTTCAGGAAAACCGCAACGGCGCCGCATGGGACGCCAGGTACCGAAATATTCCTTTGGGAGCTCCGGTGATTTTGCGGCCTTTCTATCAAACTCTCCAGTACCGGCGATACTGAAGCCTACATATTTTCCCGCAAAATACCCACGTATAGAAAAGAGTAAACAAACAATTCAGGAAAATCCCAACCAAATGCATTCAAATGTATTCATTTTTAACATAGATCCAAAATCCAGATAATGTTCAGAAAATGGAAATTGCTTCATACAAGAGTCAAGAGTATTGGGCTAATATAGACAGAAAATCCAGATAATGTTCAGAAAAAGATGAATTCCTGAGGGTTTTAACGCTACCTAGGAAAAAATAAAAGAAAATTCCGAAAAAAACATAAATCCATTACCAGAATGTGAGAGTGAGCTGAGATGCGAAGCCCACCGGAAGTGATGATTTGAACGTCGTGTTCCCTCATTTCTCCGTCGACGGAGATCTGAGGATTCAATTTCTCTTCCATTTCGTCGGATTTGCTTCCTACGAAAGAATTGTAAAGAGTCTTTGGTGACTACCATTGAAGCCTGTCGAAGTATTTATAACAACGCGAAGGTTAGCACCTACGCCACAAAAAAACACGCATTTTAACAGGGAGTGGAGTCACACACTTCGCAACTTTTGCAAATATCAACTGCGCTGTCAGCTAAACGCGCTCCATGCGGGATGGGCATCTGAGTTAGTCGGAAGTGAGATTAAATGACGCATGTACCCTTCTTATTTAGTATTATTCCATTTGCGCCTTTAGACTGGGCTTGCTAAAACCGCGGAATAAAAGCCTTTGGAGGTTGGAAAAGGCATTTCACTTTCCCATTCCCATGTGTCGTCCTAATCCTCATCACACCTGATTTTTCCAACTTGTACCCATTGGGAAAGTGAAATGCTATTCATCTCCACTGGAGATACATTCCCAATTTATGTGGCGTTAATGTGGTATCAAATGATATGTGAAATTAAATAAGTCATTTAACCAATTATTTACATCCACATAGACCGGGGATAAATAGCATTTTTCATTAGGAAAGAAGAAATAGCAATGCCAAGTAAGCATACAACGGCCACGTGTCATAATGAAATAAGGGAAAAGATACTTGATCATGGCCATATACCCCCAGCCTAAGGGGGCACCAAATGACGCCCCTGATGGCCAGGCCCCTTGTGGAGCTGGCCATGTAGCAGGGCTCGTGATATAATATCAAAGCATTTGATCCTTTGTTTGGCCCAAATTGGACTGCAAAGTATGATACGATTGATGTGTTTTAACTTTAAACCAATATTTTAAAAATTGATATTCGGTTCGAGAAGAAGTAAAGGATCAAATGATCTAAAAAATTGAGATTCGATTTGAGTTTTATTTCTTGACATTTAAGTTTGAGCACTTTTGTACTTGATGAAGGATGGTGAGTTTCCGTCATAGTCTTCGTTCAAAATACACGCAATTTTAACATAATGTCACTAAAAATTTTGAACCGCCGCTATAAATTCCTGTACCAAACAGAATATACACAGCAGTGGCCAGTGGGTGAGGTGGGAGGTTTTGCCAATATTTTAATTACATGGGGGCCATTCCCATATGAGTGAAATTCAAAATTCTGTATCAATTCTGTTTTTTTCCCTGTAGTCACGGCATTATTGAAATTTTTTTGAGGTAAATAGTTTAATGGCTATATAGTTCAGTAAAATAAAAAGAGTAGAAAGTCAATAAACTGAAGACCTTAAATACTGTTAAAGAACTACCGTCTTTTGCCGGCCATTCATGGACCAATCAGATAAGCCAACCAAAAATTTGGAGAGAAGAATGTATGATACCAATATTTTGTTTTGAAGAATATGTAAATCCACGCGTGGGTATTAAACCGACAAAATATTTGATTAGTGATCTTGGGGAGGTATAAAGGCCGTCCAATCGCATAGACAACATCATGATTTTGCTAAAATTTGAATTTTAATTGATTTTAATAAAAGTTAATAAAAATTGTGGATTGCATTGGAGCGGATAAGACTGTTCACTTGCCGATGTGTCAGTTTTCTCTAAATCTGAGAATTGTAAGTAAGGTTCTCGTCAAAGTGAGTAAGATAAGATTTTCTACAATAGATAGGAGAACATGAGTATTTTATTAAATGTGTAATTGAAAATAAATTTAAAAATTGAGAGCCAAACAGAAACGTATTACACTATGCTTTATTGCGTCGATGATGATTTTGTACTTTGAACATATTTTACCAATGGTTAAATTAATTAAACTCTTGTGTCATTTACTCAACAATGTTTCGGGCCACATAAGAGTAGTCCTATATAACACTATTCTACGTCATGTCACGTGGCACTGAATAACAAATTCAATTAAATAAGTCACATATTCATTAATTTAATTGAACTTGTCATTTAATGATCATGTGAATTGATATTAAACATTATTAGTGTTGCATAACATTATTTAACTAAATATATATGTAAATTGGGTAAATTGCAACAGATGTCTCAACCTTTAATCACTTCTGCACTTCCATCCTCATATTTATTATTATTATTATTATTTATTTATTTTGGATATTGGACTCTCAACCTCAGATAAATTAGCGACATACGTCCAAATTGTTGAATTTCACCCAATTATTCGTTAATCAATCCTTTGGTCATCAAATTTTAAAAGGGTGGAAATTGTCCTCAATTATTCTTAATTTAAAAAAATAAAAAATCTAAGCCCCCGTTTGGGCCACCTTTTTTTCTCATTAAAATTAAAAATATGACCGTTATCCATCACATCAACATTTAAAATCAAATTTTCTATTTCTTGTGTGGGCCCCAATAACGGCTATATTTTTCATTCTCATTCTACAATAAGGTGGTTCAAACAAGGCCTAAATAAATCATAAAAATTAAAAAGAGAAGACTTCAAAAATAAATAAATAAACCGCTATTCATTTTCCTCTCCCCGCTACACCATCACAACCACACCATTTTTTTTAGCAATAAGAGGGATTTTCCCCTTTCCCCAACCCCCTTCTGCTATTTTTGGTAGCATTTTGAGGGGGGAAGAATAATTATAGTATGTATTTTATTTATAATTTAAATTATTTATTCGAGTTAATTAACTTTTAATCTATCCATGTCACCAAACCTCTGCCATCGCCCGCCTGCCACCATCCCCCATTTAGTTGTTGGCATCCACCCGTCGACATTCATCCTCACAGTTATTGATATCCAAATAATTTCGCCTAAAAAAAGATAGACTCTATAGAGATCGTCATGACTTCCTCAGCAGCGAAACTATCGTCGCTCGACGACGACTAAGCATCGTTGGTTTAGATAGTAGAGATAAAAGGGGAAACATAACGGCGGTTGGAGAACATCGACTGAGCATTGCCAACTACCGATCATCTTCTTCATTGACGACTCAGGAGTGCTAGTGTCATTTAAATCTATTTTTTTTAATTGAAAATTGAAAAACAGTCCCCAGTGTAATTTATAGAGTACTTACCGAAGCAAAATAACTTCAATTCTCATCGTCGAAATCTGGTTAATTGAATTGTGACTAGTTCGAATAACTGAGGTTAGAGAAATCAATGGCATGTGACCAAATCTCTTGAGTTTGTGACCTTTGACCCGTGCACTTTGACATATGATATGTTATATGTGACTTGATACCTTATGGACATCGATCTACGATCAATTTTAATTGATCTATAACTTGTGCACATTGATCCGTGACCTGTGGACAACGATTTGTCACATATACAATATGACATGTGACCTATGAAGTACGATGATAAGTACGTTTTACATACTTATTTTACTGTCAAAACATGAGCAATTGTTGATTAATATGTTGGGATATAGCTTAATTCTATGCAATTCATGTTTTGCAGGATAAGTGATGAATGTGGCGGAAATAATGAGAAATAAGTGAAAAATAACCAGAATGGAAGAAAGTGAAAGTTCAAGTATTAAAGTGCAAATACTCAAAAATTATGTCGGGACTCACGATGAAGGTTCGAGAGTGCTAAGGGTCGATTAGAAGCAATTAGAAGTCAAAAAGGAATGAAATATTATCAAAATCAATTTCCAATTTGTACAAGATATATTCCAGATTTTTAGCCGAAAATTGAGACCCATTTTTGGTATAGTAAAAGTCCGAATTGGAAAAGATTTATTTTTAACAAAGTTGTAGCTCTTCGAGTTATCTTTCCAACGCATCTTGAATCATCTAAATCGGATATCAGAAGAGAAAGTTATAACCAAATTACTGACTGTTATGCAGAGACAAAAAATTCGCGCGCGCGAAAGGAACTTTCCTTATTCGATTAGAACTCTTTTGGAAACCAATTTGGACGTGATTTTCATCTAATTTCCGACTCTTACAAATACTTAACAGCAGAATACATATGGAGGAGGCCCCCATACACCATTCTTCTCCCTTTTGGCTCAAGAAACTCATGGAGAACTAAAACCCTTGGTGAAGCTACGAAGGAACTCGATTGGAATTGGTGATTTCATGTCTTTTATTCATTTAATTTGATCTTTTCATTGTCAAACAATGCTAGAATTTAGATTTTCATTCTCTTGAATTTATATTGAAATCGGTTTAATATTTACAAGATTTTTCATGGATTCAGTCATGCTTTTTCCATTGTTCAATCAAACTATTTATTGAGTTTCAATTTCAATTATTTATTGTTGAGATTGGTTTAACAATTATTATATCCTTCATAGATCCAGTCATGCTTCTTCTATCGTTAGATTAAACTAGTTGTTGAATTTTAATCTCAATTTCACTTTATTGGCGGATTGATTACTGCCTTATGCTTGATGTATATGGTCGATCTTTGATTTTGTTCCAATAAAATTGTGCGAATATGTCTTAAGTCTAAATTCTAGGATTACATTTGTAAATTAAATTGATTTTCACGATATATCTTCCGATTAGAGTGTCGGGATGAAAGCCTCTAATTGTGTTATAAAAATGAATAATTGATATGATTGATCCAATCCAATTGAGGGAATTCCGACGCTTCACCGCTTCGAATTATTGATTTTAATTTCACGTTTCAACATTGAATTTTATTACACATTTGAGAGAACAATTCAACATTTTTGATCCTTTAAATATTCTTCCATCTCCCTATGGATACGACATCCCAAAACTGTGCTACAACTACTGTGTTATTCTTTGGGCATAATCATGTGACATGTGACCATAAATCAATGATTTGTGACCAAATTAAATTGATATGTAACTAAATTTAATTGATTTGGGACGTGGAATTGATATGTGATCAATTTTAATTAATTCGTGACCTATGACATTGATTTGCGATCAATTTTAATTAATCTATGACATGTGAACATTGATCTTTGATTAATTTTAAACGACCTTTGAACTTTAGACTTTGATTTGTGACCTACGTACATCGAACTGTGACCTATGAAAAAATTGTGAGTCAACATAACCCACCAGCCCTAGC